AAACATAATGTATTCAAATCAGGACCTCATTTGCATAATTTATGAGGAAATGCTAGAATGGCATTGTTTGTTAATATAAGACTGTCTTTTGGTTGAGAATATGATAAACTGATAAAATTCATAAGAAAGAGGATCCTATTTGCACAAGCAGGGGGAATAATCTATCATTTGTCAGCCATAAAGATTAACATCATTTGGCAAAGGTATGAGATCGGGGAGCTCTAGTTATGTGAATGCAATGATTGTGTGTGTGTAATTAAAATGAACTTCGAACTTGAAGCACAGTATCTTTACACGCCCTGGGAGCAGTAATGGATTTAGCTCTTTGTATGTTTTATGGTTGTGACGCGCCCTCATTGTATTAACCGTTGCCTAATTTAATATAATGTCTGCACAGTAGGTCTGGCGTTGACGCTTGGGATTTTGTTTAAATATGTAAAACTTCACGGAGGATTGTCACCTATGGCTTCTTGTTCTATGTTCCTGCCGAATATCACTAGAAAAATTGTCCAGATGTTCTGCTTAATTTAAAATGATGAACTGGGGTAAAAAAAAAACAGTTTTCTGAGCTGAGAGTTGGCTAGGGCGGGAAGGTATCGAAGGAGCCGGCGGCTTGCCCATATCGGTAGCGCAGCGTGGATCCAGCAGCGTTTGCGACAAATCGAGGCCGCAACACGTGTGGCTATGTAGTAACATTGTTGTACTAATACATGTAGTAATCTCTGCTGCTTAAACAAGCATCTAAACGAGGACGAAAGATCCAACGTAACAAGGACCAAACACCCCTGACCACGAGGACGAAAGATCCATAATATAATAGGACAAGAAAAACGGTTCATAATTTTTAGAAATTGGCGTCACATGATTGTCACTGAGAAAAAGTGACGGATAAAGGTTCACTAGCGTTATAGCCGGCTGCTAAGTAAACAAACATGTCGTCTGGCCGGGTCGACTCCGCCGATTCATAGTGATTTCTTGTTCCCAACGTCATATAACAAAGTCATATACGACTTATTTCATGCCAGAATGTAGCAACTTGCGGTACCTGCATCAAAGACCTATTCATTTTGGTAAATTTCACTTCTGTACGGCGATCGTGTTAAACAAACATTTCGTAGTCGGCAATGTAAACAAACATGGCGACTGGTCGGCTCGCCTCCGCGATCGCCGATCGCCAATTCATAACGATTTCTTGTTCCCGCTGCGATATACACGTTACTTCATGTCAAAATACAGCAATTCGGTATGTTATCTCATCATATCAGGGTGTATTCCGGTACATTTTAGCCTCCTATATGTGTTTTCCGGTGTTTTCCGGTGT